TTCCCATAACAAATCAATACCTCTGGGAGTACTGATCCAGGAGTTTCCTTGTCTTCTGGATTGGTTCAAAATTACAAGGCTACGGAGTTGAACATTAGTAGTCGTAAACCCATAAGTTGGGTCGGTTGTTCAACGACGGATATAAAAAGTATTGTAAGAAAATTTTTAAAAATAAGGGGGCAACGTCCTTGCTTGCTTCGCTCGCCAACGCAATGATTGCTTCTCATTCATCATTGTTTCTTTCTCCCCGAACCATCAATATTTTTCACAAAAACACAGATAATTTTATTTTCATAACATACCATTATTGTAGTTTTCTGTAGGAACATATTGTAAATATGTTAATCGTAAAGAAATAGCCGATAACTTAGATTTCAAAAATACTCATCATTACTTGGGGGAAAAATAATCTAAGGAATACAGATTGCGAGGCTAAATAAGAAGAAATAAACGAAAAGTAATTTTATTCGCAGACGAATTCAAATAGAGAACGGTTTTATCGTTCTTCATTATTTTCTCTATACATTTTAAGATTTATATCTGGCATCGGGTAATCTTGTTCTCTTCACTTTTTAATTGGCATCTACTTGAGTGGGAGCTTATAAAATTAAGAAATAAACAGGGTTGTCACTCAAATCTGGAAAGAAAAAAATTCTCCGTGTCTTCCCTGTACATATTATGCACAATATATTAAGAGAAAACAACAATTACTGGGCTCTTGTGTGAGCTATATTGGGCTAACTATATTTATTAGTTTTAACTGCTGGAAAAACAGATGAACATACTTAAATAATGCTATAGTAAATGAAATAGTTCAGTATAGCAGAAATATCATGGTTAAATATCCCATAGATTACGCTTTGAGTGGTCACCATTTTTTAGAAGACGAAAATATAAACAAAATTCCCTGTATTTTCCCAGTTTGTAAAGAAAAAAAATCAAAATTCCCTGTTATTTTAGGTGATTTTTAAATTCCCTGTATTTTCCAGGTTGTCCCCTGTGGAGTGGCAACCCTGAAAAAAGTCTCGCGACGGAAAATTTAATTTTCTACAACAATAAATAAAATTAAAAGCAAAAAAAAAAAAAAAAAAAAAAAAAAAAAAAAAAANAAAAAAAAAAAAATACGAAAAAGCATTTAAATTTGCTATAACTTTCAAACAAAATGGAATTTTGAAATGAAATTCGCGTTACGTTCACGAAAAAAATGGCTCTTTTTTAGCACGCCAAATTTTAACTTCGTAGTTGTATATGAGCAGACATAGTAGCTTTGCCTTACAAGTTTAACGGTAACTGTTGGTTACTCAATTATTATTTCAGAGTTGCCTTATTTTTATGACATATTAAATTTATTACATTTACTATTAGCATTAAAAATAAATTTTTTTGTCAAGAAAATTATTACAAGGCTGACTTTTTAGGGAAAAATATCCGACTTTCAGGCATTTCAAACTCAAATTAATTCATTTACATATTACCCTGATTTAGAGCTTGGTAATTAAAGTCCTAGTTCTGCAATCACCTTGTTTGAAGAATAAGGTAGTTGTTTTTTTGTTTTCTCCACAACAGAAAATACTATCTCTTAGGTTTTGAGTACAATGACATATGGTCATTATTACTCCATTCTAAGTAAAAAGGAAAATGGGGGAAGGGGAGCAAATATGACCATTAACTTTCAAGTAATAAACTAATTTAGGTAAAGTTTAATTTAGTCAAAGGTAGGAGGATAAAAAACATCATGAACTCACAAATTTACACCAACCAGAAAATTTTTCCTTGATCAATATGCATCGCAACTGTTTGTCGAATATAAGAAGTAATTCAAAATTATTTGAATATTGACTTGAAGTTCCTAAAATACTCAAAAAATTGGACAAAAATATTTTTTTAATTCATACCCTGGATAGGTCTTTTATTATATCGCTGCTCACAAATTACATCATTTGACCCTAAATTAAGAGGATTATTAATTTGTATCAAGGAATGAAGTTTTAAAAAATTGAATTATTCTCATTTGAATGATGTGAAGGCTGTGTAAGATTTGTAATTAAATTTAACCACTTCAATGCTGAAGAATTTTTGTGTAAATATGCTAAAAGGCAAAATAAAATGTGGAGCTATTTTTATGGTAAAAAAGAAAAGGTTATAATTAACTCTAATTATTATATAAATTATTATTATAATAAAATTATATTTCATTAATTAAAAGCGAAGCAATGTAATTTTAAAATTGTATTTCCCATTAGTTACAATTTGTTTTGTTGATTATAAATTCCAGTCTTAAATTTTTCAAGTTAAATACATGCTTTTTATCTTAATATAAAAGCTTTTTTTAAGCTAATTTTAAAAAATTCATAAATAGAGATAAGAAAAAAACATACAAAATTTAAGAAATAAAATGAAGCAATTCACACCAAGATGTATAATTTATTTTGAACTTCAAAATACATTTGTTCAGGGATATTTAAAATTTGAATAATAAAATATATAGGGGATAGTATAGCATGGAACTCTGCATTTTAGTGTCAGGGGGAGGGGGACTTTCGACAAGGGGGAAAACAATCACACATTTTCTAATTTTATGCAACAAAGTTGAGCTTTTATATTCATATATATATATGTAATATATACACATTTAACTTGAGTGGAATGATGGCTATACACAATCTATAAACTTTCATAACAACATATTACATTTTTATGCAAAACTATAATTTGAAAAAATAATAAAGAATTATTGGTCATTATTATAATAATCATTTGAATAGGTTAACAGTGCATAGTTATGATTTTACAAAGATGAACAAATTGAAATGTTTTAAATGGTGTGATTACCAGCAAAAGCGTTTAAATTTCACATAAAATGAAATTTAACTGTGCATTTATAGATAAAGCATTTAAAAAAAAGGAGCTCTAAATAACCAAAATACTTAAGTTTTTCAAAGGAAATATTAAAATAAAAAATTTTTTAATTCCCAACTACTGTAAATTATAAATGAAAGTAACTTTCTTACTATATAAATAAATATATATATATATGCTTATATACAAACAAAAGCTAAATATCAAATTATAACCTTTATATTTATTATATATAAAATAAAAATGCAAAACATTGATACAATAACTTTGTATCATTAGCTAAAATATACTTTATAATAAAAAAAAAATTAATGTCATAGAATAATGTTTCTTTTATACAGTCTTAATCAGAACTGATTTTTCTTATAAATATTCATAACAAAAAATAACAACATCACAAATCCTCAAGCTCTGAGAATTCCATAACAATATAAAATAAATGAACAAATAAATAAAACATTACTCAGTGCACATTAAATGTTTAAGTACAACTACTTAATTTGAAAAACAATTTCAATTGAAACAGAAATAGAATTTAAAATGTATTATTCTTTACCTGATAACTATTCAAAAGATCTAATACACAATTTTTGAAATATTGATGATAAAAGGGCCATAATAAGCCACTAAATGCACGTTTTATCATAGATTATTGCTTAATGAATGTAAATCCTTGACACAAGATATTGCATAGTGCAAAACAAAATCCTGTAGGACTTACTGTAATATGTAATTAAAATGGTTTATTAAAACTGTAAAAAATAATTGCAGGCTTGAAAATAGTACCATTTCTATATTTTATTAAATTTACCTTAAAATGACAGAAAATAAATAAAAACTATATCATAAAAATGAAACTATAACCTATTTGAGCTTTAAAATACGAAGTATTCATGCCATTTGATTATTATGATTTGAAGATGAGACAAAAAACACTTTGTGAATTGTTTTAGCATTAACAAATATAAAAAATTAAAATCACTGAGAAACTTTTACAAGAATATTATAATACTTTGTGATAGTACATTTAGAATTGTGCTTAAAAAATAATCAAGTGCATACATTTGTTCAAAGAATTGACCCACTAATTTTTTTTAAGCAGAACATCAAATTAATCAATTTGGATTTTAATGTATATCTTCATGAAAACTCACATTTAATACTGTCACCCTTAAGGTAGCCAAAGAAAAAGGTGTTATCTTTTCAATTTTTAAAGCAACATCATGATAATATAAAATTATCTTCCGCCCCTTAAATCACCAAGATCAAAAGAAATATGTTGTTCTCCAAGGACCCACATTTCTATTATGAAACAAGATTTGTGGGTCTTTCATTTAGACAAGCATCATAATCTTGGCTTGTTACTGTTGACTTTCATATCAAATAACGAAATAAAATGCAATACAGCTTTATCCATTAACTGTACAAGTATAAAATATTGAGAGTACATTACAATGGAGTAATCAAAGTTGCTTTTGGATAACAAGTTCACATTGGAAAATTACGGGTGAAATAGGTGGCAAGTATGAATGAATTATTTGTTGCATTTTTATTTTTTATTAAAAACACTTGTGTGTTAAAAACCTACTATTGAAAGGTTCACAAGCAAAAAATATGTCTTTCAGTGGTCTAGTCAATGTCCTTTTATTTATTTTTTTTCTCATAAAGACAAGTAGAGAGACTTATTTTAAAAATATTCTCTGAGTCAGAGTAAGTTATATTCTCGTTGTTATAAGATTTATAAGAATAAAAATGTATGAATAATAGATAGTAAAAACTACATTAGAAATTACTTTGAAAGAAAGGTTACACATGCGAGATATATTTTAACATGTTCAAAGTCACAAATCCTCGCTTTAGCTCACCAATCATCAGTTTTTTATTTTAAAATGATTAATTGAATGTCAAATTGATGACATATAAGTTTTTGAAAGAGAGGAAGAGAATGAGAAAAAAAGCTCCAATCGGCATAATTACATGTTACAATAAAATAAATATAAAATAAGATAACCAACAAGTACAAGACACATTTGAAAGAAATTTTTTTATCACTAATAATTAGTAACTCAAATTATATGATTAGATGTAATAATGGCCTTAGTAATTAGCAAATGAGAACAAACATAGTGGAGTTCAATATATTCCACAATAAAATAAATATTTAAACATAAAAAAGTGATATCTCTCAATATATATTTAAAATTTATCTAAATACTGAAACCACTATCATTTTTCCTATTTACAAATTCAATAAATAACGTTTCATTCACAACTTTCATTTAAATTAAATTTTTAATTTACTAATATATCTTGAATGGAAATAACTTGAGCATTTAAAGTAGTACTCCACTATGTTCTTGTTTAAACTGAATTTTTATTTTTTTTAAAACCAGTTTCCTACTTTTAAATATGAATAGAAAATATTATTATTTTGCATTAACTTGTCAAAGTTAAAAACATTATAAGCAACAGCTAAATTTTTTTCATACAACATTTGGTCACACGGATTACTTGTTAATTTTAATCGACTGTTACAAGCCTACAATCAAGTGAGCAATGTATTTGCTTCAATCCAAAATTCATGTAAACATGAATGCCTCTATAATCTATAACAATTCTTAAGCAATAACAACTATATCATTTTATTCATGCATTATCTTAACACTCTCCAATTCAAAATATTAATCTAGCGCAGTCCTAATACAATACTTTTTCTGATATAAAACAGCCAGCAACCAGCTCAAATTACAGTCACAAGCGATAGCGTGAAGAATATGCCATATTTCAAAAATGATTGCTCATAATGGATATCAGTAAATCACAATGGGATGTTCACAACAGCTAAAGGATAAATATACAACACATGAAAGAATTAAGTAAAATGTTGCCCTTTCTGCTACAGCTCACAAGACTATGACCAAAACAATCACACTGATGACCTAAAACTATTAAATAAAGCCACTTCTTACTTAAAATTTAACCTACAATACTCTAGAAAATCACTAAAAGATAAAACAAAAAATTGAGCTTAATTATATAAAAGTTATCAATTAATACATTTCACACAAAATCATATTTTTGGTATTTGATTTTATAACCAGCTTATACTATTTAAATGACATTTTTTCAGTTTAAGTCCTATAAGTTCCTTAAGTTTTTAAGTCCTACAAGTGTGGCATAACTAACAACTACAACAAATATTAAATACCAAATCGCTAGTATATAAGACATGTTAACTCGATTCTATTTTCAGGTACCTTTTGATAGATGAAGGTTGACACAGACAAAAATTAAATCCCCACACAAGTAAACAATTTTGTTTTTTACACTTGAATATTTATCTTTGTCATATAATATTTTTTAAAAATCGAAACATATATATGTTATTTAATATTGATTAAAAAAATCTCTTTAGTTAAAATTTAAAAAAATATAGCCCTAGTTGTCAAATTTTTTCATTCAAAATATACTTTAATCTTTAACAATGAAAACTATTTTAAAATAATTGCAAATGGCAATTAAAAAATTTATCATAGTCATTACATAACAAATTGAAAGACATAGTGAAAAGATGTATATTTTTATTTATAAAATAATAGAAAGCTGGTTTTAAAATGAAATACTCAAAAACTTTGGAACAAAAATGAAGATAAGAAAAAAAACCTACAAAATTTTAAGTTAATATTGGTATTAAATATTATTAAAGTTAATATTTGCATTAAATATCAATTTCAAATGAGCAAGAAAAGTATTAGTTTTAAATTGCTTTCAGAATTATTTACGTACAAGCATTTAGATTCTTTCGCACGAGACATATGGATTTCTTTGAATCCACACTAACTAAGAAGCCCACAAGTAACAAAAATATTATTTTCTTCTATCACTGTGTTTAACTACATTGCAATATAGAGGCCTTAATTTAAAAGGCTTGGTATTTCATTGTGGGTTTGGTCATAACCGCAAGCATGTCCTCAAAGCACCTTATGTTATACATATTAAGACATTTCCTACAGAAAGATATATATATACTAGCACATAATTTAAACCACAAAGAGATCATATTCACAAAGCAAATAATTTTTTTTAAATAAATCATAACATAATATAAATAATAGAAAGACAAGCTCTTTATGCTAAACAACTGGAAGACATTAACAAAAATAGAAAGTCTACAAACAACATAATTAAACTATAGCAAATGTGATACAAAAGTTAAAAGACATGACATAATACGTCATTTCTAATCGAAGTAATACCACATAAAACAAAGTGCATAAAAATTAAGTTTTCAGGTTTCATTTAAAATACTAAAACATTAAAAATAGGAATATTTTTATAATTGAAGAACAATAAGAGCATATCACACAAATCACAAATTGAATATGTTATTTAGAGTAAACATTAGTAATTGCTAATCAATATATATTTTATATTTATGTATACATAGAAATATCTAAAAAAAAAAAACATTTCAATACTAAACATATATTTATATAGAGACAGAACAAAGTGTGCGGTTATATAACGAAATTATAATTAAATTCTGTACAGTTTTTTCCCCAATAAACTGGCCATGTGCCAGCATGTCAACATCTAAATAGAAATTTCAGGTGAAAGAATAAAATATTTATATTTTAATACTATTTCACATCATCAAAACAGACTGAGCAGTTACTCTATCATTTAACTTTTTAAAAGGTTTTCCAGCCACTTTTTCAAGCAAAGGAGACATCGGTGGGCGAGGACAGAAAGGTAAATTAAAGTTTGGAATTAAATGTCATATTATTGGTTTTCTTCACGCAGTTATTAGGCCTAGCCTGAAGTTCTTTTGTTGAATTTCTTCTTCCTATTAACTGAAATAATCAGCCAAGCTGCAATTGGTCAGAAACCGTGGATATCAATTATCTCGGATCTATACAGCTTACGAGTAGATACGGATGGCTTGAAGAGCATGCTGCCGGCAAATGGGGCATTCAGGTTCAGCTTTTTCACAAATACGATTGGCACATTCCATGCAAAACATATTATGTCCGCAAGGAACTAAAGCAGCTACCACTTCGCTTTCAAAGCAAACAGCGCAGTCTCTTTTGGGCTTTTTCAAAGAATCGGTTGGACTGATATCAGAACTCGGAGAAGCTCCGCTGCAAGTCGTAACAGTAAAACAATTGGCAATAGTTGATACTGTAGTTGCTGCTGTGATAGATGGAAAATTTACTAGAGTGTCTACAAGTGGATCACTTCGAATTCGTCTTGCAGGTGGATGATCGAGTAGCAGAGGGTCGGAAATTCCCGAGTCAGAACTTCCTAAACTATTACTCCGACGAGGAGCATTTGATGAAGTTGTAGAAGTAACAGTGCTTTCAAAAAGTGGAGACACAGTACTTCTGACGGGACCAAAATCTGACCAAACACTGCTTGTATTAGGAAAAACGGCTTGTTCAAATGTTGGAGATCCCCCAACACCTTCGTCATCATAGAGACTAAAACCGTTTGAAAAAGCATTAGTAAAACCGGTATAAATATCTGTTATTTTTGGAGAATCTCCATCTGGATGGGGTGGAAAAGTGAAAATATCTTGTGAACGTGGAGTCAAACTGCTATTGCTGTCACGAGAGATGGGTGAGCTTCCATTACCAAATTCAGATTTATACATGGAGTTAACATAGTTCGATGTTGCAACGGTTGGTGTCGTAAATCCTCTTTCAATGCCATTTACATGGAAATCATCATCTTCAGAATTGGAGTTATTACCAGAACCACCACTGCTAGCAGAAGAATCGGGCAATCCTCCAGTTCGCATAGCAATATGAGCTTCTATCTCCTTCCGAGCTGTTTCCACATTATCTGGCAAGCCAGTGACTTCAAAAACTGGTTCTTTTTCACGGCTAGGAGTAACAATGTAAGTGTTGGTTTGCTGTTGAATTCTTTTAATAGTTGCACCTTTGGGACCAACAACAAGACCTACAACTCTATAAGGTACTCTCACTTGTATGGTAGTTTGGCCTGGAATACTGGAATTTGGACCAGGTGCAAGAGAACCATTCATGTTATTTTTACGCTGAGCTCTTATTTGGCTGAAATGTTCAGCTGCAGAGAGAATTTCTCTCTTAGCAGCACTAACATCTTCTTTACGTCCTGTAACAACGAACACTGGCTCTTCTCCTCTCACAGGTGTTTTGATGTATGTGTTGGTTTTAGCTCTCAATGCTTTGATTTTGCAACCTAAAGAGTAAAATTTAACCCTTAAGTAAAAACATTATAATAAAAGTCATGATTCCAATTCAATAGTAAAAATGATTAGTCACCTCAATTATGAAGTAAGAGCAAGCAAATAAATCTGATTAAATAATTGATTTTTTTTTAAATACCTAAATATTGTTTTTCCAGTTAAAGAAAGTGATTTAACCAAAAAAATTATGGATTTGTTTAATTCATTATAATATAAAATTAGAAAATTTTGATGAGGGAGGAAAAGCTCCACACAAGATTAACAAAGGACAGATAAACAGAAGGAAAGTCTATTTATTATTATCACTTAAACTGCAAAGAAAAACTGAAATCTAAAGAATAAAAGCTAAAAAAATATTAAGAAAATGACAATATTTTGTTTAAACTTGCATGCTAAATTTCTTTTAATACATGATTATTTGGCTTAAAATTCACCCCAAACAAATTGATATTAAATTTGATACAAGAAATCAATTTAAAAGAAAGAAAAAACAAATCTCTCTATTTTTTAATGTTAATCAAAGTAAAATAAATCATTTGCAAACAGTTTTTCAGTGTTTCATCATTCAGAAGGTTACTTAAAAAAAATTGCAATGCTTATAATGCCTAAAAAACATCTAGAAAATAATAAATATCAAGTTTCTTTCTAATTTATTTAAAAAATCATCATACATAAATAGTAAAATATATTGTAAATAAAAAAATTTTAAAAAAAAAAGGAACATAGTAAATTATTAACAAAAATTACAATTACAGTAGAGGAACTGCTCAAAAGATCTGTTAAGAACTAAGAGCAGAATGCAATATTTACATTCACCAGCTACTAGCATTCTTATACAGTAGGGAACCGATTATCTGGAACATCGCTATCACGGATAACTGATTTTTCCGGTTTTCTGAATCGCTACAAAAAGCCGTTTTATTGTTAAACCCAACTAAAAAAAAAATTTTTGAAAATAATCTTAAAAAGAAGAAAAAATGATAGAGTAATACACTAATGATTATTTCCAAAATGATGGTAAGGTAAACATCTTTCAAAAAAGAAAGAAAAATCCTAAAATCTTGAGGAAATATTTTTTTTTTTTTTAAATGGCCGTAAAATTCATCTAATTTCGTTCCGGTTTTTTGGTTTTCCAGTTTTCTGATTTCCGGATAACGGGTTCTGTACTGTAGTTAAGACTGGCGAATAAGTTGCATTCTAAAAAATTGAGTCTAAAACTAAACTATGCTTAGTTTATTGTGTCTCAGTGAAGTGAAGTGTTTTGCTATTAAGCAACTGCACTTTTCTTTAATTTTGAATAAAAAATGCGGAGTCAACCTAAGTTAATTTATGACCATTGCTTTTAGAAACATTGAAACTTGAAAATATTACTTTGATTTAATATAATTGTTATTTCAATAAATATGTTCTGATTTTATACTTTATCTGCATTCTTTTATGATTTCGGTCTACATAAAGTTCCTTATACTACATATAACATTTAAAAATTGTTTACAATTTTTAAAAGTGCAAAATAGTGACAAGCAAAATTTCAGTCTGGCTAATATCTTTAGAACTGAATTATCATGCCGTTTTAGTGTCTTACAAGGAAATTGCTGAGACTCTAGCAAAGAAATTTTTTTTTAACTAATTTGTGAGAGTATTAAATCTTTTTTTCTTCAGTCATGCTATGCTAAAAATCTCAGAAGTTAATTACTAATTATTTAAAAATTATTGAAATTAAAATTGAAACTATGTTGATTCGAATCAGTATGAGTAATAACATGACTGTAAAACATAATTATCTTAAATTTTGTTTATTAACAAAATATAGACATATAGAGATAATTATGCAGACAATGAGTAAGATAACTTATACCTGCAAACCAGTTATTTACAGGGTTAGCACAATCAAAAAAAGATTTTATGCAAATGAAATGCACTTTTGATTGAAAATAAAAAGAAAAAACACAAATAAGCTGTGATGATAAAAGCAATCTAAGATTAATTGCTTCTTCAGATACAAGATAAAATGCACTCTTTCAGAAATTTAATCCAGATATTTCATTTAAATTAACAAAAATATTTTAATCATTTCACAAGGTTATATTTTTGCTTCATGCATATATTGCTCAATGTCATAATCATGCAAAAATTGAGGCGTTGTGAATCAGGAAAAAATTATCCATAATCTCTGCCATATTGATAAGAGAGTTCCCACAATTTTTTTTTCCTTCACAATATTGAAAACATTAACTACAGGGTAAAACAGGGAGATTTTTTTAAAATTTTTATAACGAAATGAATGCTAAAAAGTTTTCAGCCATGGAGACAATTTTCAACAATGTTGAAAAATATTGACTACGGAGTAACACGAGGAAATTTTGACCATTTTTGTTCATAGTCAGTAATAATAAAAATTTCCCGCAGGCGACATATGCGTACATTATTTATAACTATTGTTGTCGCTGATATCAAAAGTTGCAATGAGTATATAAAAGGCTCAATGCTAATAGGGGTTAAAAAAAATCATAGCATTAATTGCTGAGTCACTAAAAAAATATCCAAAATAATATAAAATTGTTTATATTTATATACAATTCTAGAAAAAGAATTAAATTGAGACATTTATGCTCCTTAGAAATCAATTTTAAAATTCTCGATATCCACATGGATAGAAAAACTTGTATCTTCATGACAAAATAAAATCATACTGAAAAAAAGTTAACTAGAATTTCAAAAACAATGGAGATATTGGTAAAAATAACTGTCAAAAAACTGATTAATGAAATCAGTGATAAAATCTTTGGGAACTGAATATGTCACGAGGTGATAAATCGAAAGTGTAATTTAAGAGATTTAGGTGTTACAATATCGAACTAATAATAAAATTGAGATTATCAAAGCCACATATCCTAAAAGTACAATCATTAAGTGCCCTAAAAATATTGTGTACTGCTAGATCAACTTTTTTACATTTGTCTACTATTGTTTGGGAAAACTAAATAAAATTCTAGGGTGATTCTTTAATCCCTAAATTTTCATTACTGATGTGAACTCTTAACATTTCACAAGCAAGGTTTGCAAATTTCTTCTATTATTGGCAAACATTGAACAAAAGGAATGAAGGTTTGTCCAAATGAGTAAAGTTAGCAAAAAGTTTGTGGTGGAAAAATGTATCAGTGAATGCATAATTCTAAATCAAGCTTTAGAGATTTAGTAATAAGATTTATATATTTAAAAAATTCAGAAAAGAAAACTTTGATAAAAAATCTAATAAATTTTACTAACTGTGCATTGTTAATTAATATATAACTAAATTTATTTCTGTTAACAACTATGATCATTATCATGTTATCCATAAAAAAAGTATAGCTATCTTTTAGATTAATTCAGAAAAGTATTAAAAAGTAAAAATGAAATCATAAAAGCTAATATTCTTTGTTAGGATACAAACTGTCATTTTCTTTTTCATTAAATAAATATTAACAGCAATTAAATGTTAAATAAACTCACAAAAGATTTCCCAGCATATTAATTATCAATTTTATTTATCGTAAGATAACAATTTGAAAAAATATAAAAAACAATGTTAAACTTTTTAACAGTAAAAGAGAAATAAAATATCATCAAAGAATTATAACCGCTGTAAAAAATTAGACTCAAAGAAATAAAGAATTTAATGTTTTTTAGTAATTACTCTAAGTAACTTCTCTATGTGTGCAAAGACAAAAGCTAGATATGCCCCATAACAAAAAGTTTTAATATTTTAATAAATTCATAAATCACAAATTTTAAACATAGAAATGTGAGTAATGAAGTTAAAAATTATAACTTTCACTAAGAAGTTATGTCACTGTAGAAAATATTCTGGATATTAAGCATTACATGAGTAATAAAAAAGTTTTAAAAAAAATTAACTATGCAGTGGTCGGTGGAGGCCAAATTTTCATTTAGAGGTACGTTTAGGAAAAACGGTAGTTTCACAAAATACTTTTTCTTAAAATTTTATTTCTGTTGTATCCCTTAAGAAACGATAAATCCATATCTTAACATAATTTTAATTTCCCACAAATTATGTCTAAATTTTCACAAAATAGGTATCTCTCAGAAAACCTAGACAGGGGTCAGTCTAGGTTTTTCTGAGAGCTAAAAGACATTAACGAGAAAATTAAAGAGAAAGGCAAACATAAAAACAGAAATCTATAACTTTTTTAAAATAGCATAATTAACAAAATAAAATTTTCATATTACAAAGGAAACTAAACAACGAAAAAAATATTCTAATTAATATTCTATAACTATTCTTTAGACTTAGTGAAATTAAGTAACACTCAAGTGCAGTAAAGACACATTTGGGCTATATTAATCAATCTTAAAAAATATTGCCCATATCAAATAGATCATTTTAATTTTTTTAGAAGAACATTCCTTTTTATTAATTTAAAAATGCAACAATTAGGCATAGACAATGGATGAAATTCTATCACAATTAACAAAAGTAAATATAATTAAGTTTATCTAAATGTTATGTTATATTAAAACGTTATGTAACTTTCGTTTGCAGATCAAATATGATTCTGGCAATTTTCATAACAACTGGAAAGGTAGATATAATTATGAATGATCAAAAATGATATAACTAATTTTATTAATTGGACGCTGAATATATGAGCAATGAATTAATTGACTTACATAATGAATTTGTTAAATAAATTAGATTATCTAATTAAGATTTCTGAAATTTCGTCTATGTCTAGTATGTAACATACTTAATGATATAAATTCAAAAATTTTAATCTTATTTTTCCTATTTTATTAAAAATTCCAACCTTTCACAAATCTAATATAAAAATCACACAATTAATCAATATGATGCAGATGTCACAATTTTACGATTTAATTACAAATAATCTGAGAAACTATTGCTGTGTTTTAATTTAATATTTAGCTCCAAAGATAGTCTTTAGGTAAAAGTCACCTATAAATGATAATTTAAAACATAAATATGAGAATTTTAGGAAAAACAAAAGGAAAAAACGAAAATTTGATTTTTAGAATAAAAGAATGTGGAGTTCCACAGATTTTTTAACACATGAAAATGGTGACATACCTTGCCTTCCAACTATCTCAGCAACATGTTCTGAACTTGGTACCGGTACACACTCTGTTGTATTTTGGCTTTTCTTATTACGACTTTCATTTTCGTATCCTCCACCAGCAGAACTATACCCTGATTCAGTATCGTTCATTGTAAGAAACGAATGAAGTCCGACAGCTAATGCAAATGTTCTAGGATCATCTAAAATATTCCCGCCGACATTCGATTCCAAATCATTTATAAGACTTGCCGGCATCTCGAATAAATTTCAAAGCTACTGCAATATTATAGAGTATTGAAAACGCACTGTAAATGTTTTAAGAATTCCGAGATGTTCTCAATTTGCTACCTTCGTGACACAATGTCAAAGAACATACTCAACACACATTCTATTCCTGCACCGACTTTCAAAGGATTACTCCTTTCCAAAACTACTCTCCCCTGACAAGACTATGACGTCACTGAAGGGTTTGGCGCCGCTGCGGACATGGGCTCTCTGAAAAGCGGGGTACAAAGTTTGAATCTGATTGGTTGTTGAGACTCGAATAAGGCAGGGTTATAATTTGATTGACACTCTATTCCCAAGTTCCTTTGTGCTGAGTTCGTCTGAACAACATCCGCGTCTGCGCGAATCGTACGTTAGCATCCCTTGAAAATTTCTCCTTTCTTTTTAGTTTTGATCTTGAAATGCGCAGTGCAAAGTGACCTTGAATTCCGGTATTGAAAGGAGCAGCGAGATGTGAACGCTCTCTCGCTCAGATTTTCTTCCTTTTTTATCTCCAAATTGGAGTCCACTTTTTTCTCTTCTTGCTCTTCTCAGAATTTCTTTAAATATATATTCGTGTAATGAAATATAGAACGATCAATTTTTTTATTTGCTATCAACTAACCAAGTGCATATCAATTTAATTAAGGTAATTAATCAATTGAATTTTATTTATCGTGATAATTAAAGGCTATAATAGTTTTCTTAACACCATTTCAAAAGTGCAAACAATTGAAAGTCGCTCCACTAGGTTTTTCTGCAGGCGTTTTTTTTCTCCAAATGAGAAAACGATTTTAAAAAACAAACCGTTTGCACAAAATATCGCTTTTTTTTTCACTTTTAGATATATTTTTAAAAAGGTCGATCAAGACACTTTTTGGTATTGGTATTAAAATAGCTTTGCAATGCAGAGTTTTTATTATTTTATCATTGAAATATTCGAAATCACAAAACTGTCACGAAGTAATTTGTGAGGTTGAATGAGTTTAAACCTATTGTCATACTTCCGCAAACTTCTTAATGTTGCTTTAGAATCGATGAAAGATGACAACTTTTTGTTGTTAGTTATTTACCTTTTAGACAATTTGATTAAGATATTTGAAAACGTCCCTTGCTATGAGGTAGGTCATAATACTAGATTAATAGCAAAACTTTCATTTAAATTTTTTCAAGCATTTTTTAATATATTTCTCATATCAAAATACGTAATTCTCTCAAAATTTATAAAATTCAAATGCCTTTAAAGTTCTATCTATCATCTCACTATCTTAATTCTTAAATTACAATTAAGAATAATATTACTTGTTGTTTTAACCCTCTCGGCATTAAGATGAGTTCAACTTTTCCCCATCTTTATTTTTCCCATTTATATAAATATTCTTTGTGACATAGTTTTTTTATTTAAAAAAATGAAGTGTCAAACTTAATAAATTTTGCACCTAAATTACGATGCGATGAAACTGAAACAATCTTAAGCATTTCGATAGTGTTTTGAACTTAATAGTTAGTACTTTTAGGGCAAAATGCTCTTTTAAAGTGATGTAATAGTACAAAATGTTAAAATAGAGCTTCTCATTTTCATCGGAATTATTTTCTCCCCAGCCTTTACTAAATTAAATTCTTTAAAACAAGTATTTCCGAAATTGTTAATTAATAAACGTTTCATGTTGGAATGAATTATTCAATTTAAAATTAGAAGGGCAATTATTCTAAATTCGTTGTATTTTTTTTCTCAATACAATCAATAATTATCTGAAATCGATCATTTAAATCTCAATAAAGCATTTAAATTAATAAACTCCGCTTATGAATTATGATAAGTGAAACAAAATATCTTGAGCAATTGAGAAATGGAGGACGCTATCTCGCACGAGAACTCCTTCGAGGCAAATTCTCTTTCAGCTACTTAAGTAATTTAAAACTTAAAATATATAAAAAAAGAGAATGTGTAGATAAAGTTCGAGCAAGCCAAGAAGTTTCAATTGCCGAATAAAAAAAATTCAGAACATGAAAATGTAAACAAATTGTGACAGGATTACGCAGTGGAAATGTTATCCTGCCGAAATTTGTATGAATTTTGATGTTTTAGAAACATTTTTTCAGCATTTGAAAGTTCATCGATTACTCTAGGCTTACCTGAACCCTTTTTTTTCTAAACTTTAAAATACCAAGAATTTGCCAGGAAAAGTTTCCTACACAGTAGGTCTCCTTAAGTAGTATTTTGAACTTAGAACTTCGCTCGCTAAATGCTATTCAGTACTTAAGCAATCTATACAAAATGTAGAAAGTCTCTGATTTTAATCTGAATTATTTTTATTTTAGCTTTTACTCGAATATATGAAATTTTTTAAAGTTTCAATTATTCTTCCGGAACTATTAAAGATGTTTCTAGGTTAAATGAACGATACCATTTTAAACCTGGAAGGCGATTACCCGGAATTCGACATCTCTGGATTGCGACGATTATCCGGACTCAGGAGTATTTTTCTCTTGACTTCAACAACTTCATTCAAACAAAGCCTTGGAAGGCCATCTGAATGTTATAATACTGATCAAACAAAAAGGGGGGGAAAGTGACAATCATGCCACACGTGTTGCATGCCAAGAGAATGAAAGGAAGCGTGAAGCTTCTGTGGGTCAGGAATTCGAATCCGCACTTTGGACTGGTGACCTCCATCTTCCATTGCTCTCTATCATCCCAGGCATTACTTGACATTCACCTTCCCTTTCAAGGTGAAGATGAAGAAAAAGAAGATTCTTCAATTGCGTGGCGGCCATGGTTCTGGAACAGTTGTTGCACTTTCTCCGATTTCTCTTCTCAGCCATGCATGGCAATCGGAAACTTGTTCCTCGTGGAAGAAAAACAGCCTATTATTCTCCATCGATGGCGGGAATTTTTTTTTTTCATTCTTCCTCGGGGCAATTTGTATCATGTATGTAGAATGATCTTCGCTTTATGATACGATGCCAATCAGTCGGGTGTTATTCTATTGCAGACTGATGAATTGTGAAGATATAGGGCCCAATTATTTAAAGTTTGTTCTTGGTTCATTACACTGTGGTCACGTGAGGGATGTAAGTGTTTGTGAGACCAAAAGAAAAAAAACGTGAAGCAAAGAGAAACGCAATCAAAAGTCTGTAGGCTGTCTTCTTCTTAAAAAGAAAAAATAAATAAATACATGTGAAATTTTTAAAATTATGTTTACATATAATTTAACAAGATAACTACTGATATCAAATAAAATAAAATAATTATTGACTAATAAAGTTATATTGCTTAGAGTGGACATTTATAGAAAATCTCTTCTTTTATGAAGTGTGTACAAATAAAAAATGAACGATGATTCTAAGAACTCTCCAGAATAATTTTATTCACTAAGTTTAATGAAAGTAAGCCGTTTTAAATTTGCTGGACATACTTGGAGAATGGGCTCATCCTGTTTAATTTCCAGAATTTTCAAACCAACTGATACCTAAATTAGAGTCAGGAAATTTTTTTTTTGTATATAACTTTTTTTTAAGGTAAAAAATTAGTTGTATACAAAAAAAATTAATCTGCTGAATTTTTTTTTATCTAAACACAAAGTTAAATCATGAAAAAAAAAGTTTTAAGGAAACATAAGAACTATTTGCTTGAAAAGTTTCAAGATACAAAGCTTTCTTACTAGCATAGAACTTTTAAATTTATTAAAAAAAATTATAAACTGCCAGAATGCTGAGCAATTCCCGATTTTGTGAAAAACCAAAACAAATCTAACACTTTAAAAGCAAAATCTAACATTCAAAATGTTAATACCATATTAGGAAATTTCATACTATTTTTACGAATTCATTTTTACGAACTATTTATATGAATGCAAAAGGAAAAAAAAAGTTTTAGTATTCTCCTTAAATTTACCTTCTTACATTTGAACAAAATTGCTTAAATCTTAGAAATTTCGAGACCTTTAAATTGAGGGTCTCCTGACCTACTCGGCCTTTAAGGTTATGAGGACCTGAACATAAAGTTCAAGGAAAAAAATTGTCTCAATTTCACTGCAAAAACAGTCCAAATAATTTTTTAAGTTGATGTATATAAATGCTAAATTTTATGTTATTTAGTTTGACTAGAAGTTATTAGTAAAACATTGTTGTAAATATATTTGTAACTTATATTAAAACTAGAAAAAAATTCATGCATACTGTTTCAGTGCAAGAAAAACATATTAATTCAATTATTAAAATATCAATAAGTTAGTTAAAATACATAATTTGCAAGTTTAAGTTATCTGTAAAGGAGTTATTACCTTAGTTCTATGCATTCTAAGTATTGTATTGATATGAAAATATATTTGACACTACAAAACTAAAAAAAAATCTAGAAACTGGTTAAGTGCTGGAAAAAAAACTGAGTTAGGCTATAAGAAAAAAAGTCCAATAAATTGAAATTAAAATGCATAATGTATAAATTACGTAGTTAAGTTTGCCCTCACATTGTACTGGGGCCGAATTTAGCGTACGCAGGGCCCTAGGCCATTTAAATTTTTGGGGCCCTTAGATTAAATTTTTTTCTCGGATATTTTTTATTTATTCAAATATAAAAGTATTTATATTTTCATTTAAGAAAGCATATTTAAAATAAAATAATAAATTAAATTTTGCTTCATTTTATTAAATTAGAACTTAAAAATAATCATAACACTTTGAAAATATTTGAAAAATCATTGTTTATCTTAATTTTTTNATTTTAGGAAGCATATTTAAAATGAAAATAAATAATAATAAATCAAATTTTATTTTGTTTCATTAAATTAGAACTAAAAAATAATCATAACATTTTGAAAAATCATTGTTTTTCTTAATTTTTCAAAATTTATTTTCAAAAATCCATTTTTAGCTATAACCTATTGGGTAATCCAGCCCTGGTACTGATGTAAACATAATCAGTCCTGATATTAAAATTGAAAAAAAAAATTATACGTGATTCAGTGCTAATAAAAACTACTTTAAAAATAAATAAATAGATAAAATAAAATGGCGGCAGAATTTTTTTTTTCCTTGTGTGAAACGTAGTTACGTTCACACACATTAAGAATAAATGGTACATTTTTTTTTCTCATGAATATTAAAAAAACTAAGTTATTTCTCTATAAGTAAATAAACCATCGAATTAGGTGGCATGTGTTTTTGTTTTAACAATTTATTTAATGTCGCAACAG